CGCCCGGCGGGGGTGGGAAGAGGAGGGGGTTGAGCTGAAAGTCCAAAACAACCCCTGCCAGGCTAGAGTCGTGGGGGCTGCTGCTCCTGGCCGCTTGTTATTAAGGGCCTGGAGACAACTCACATCGCTGCTTTTACCTCAGTTGCAGGAGGGGGACTGGCCTTGCCTCCCCACCTCTTTTGGAGCTCGGGGAGATAGTTCCATGAGAAGAGTATGTGCATATAATTAGAGCTCACTGTGTTATGCCCCAAATTTGGCCCCTTGCTTTAAGAGTCAGCAGAAGGCATTCTGGCTTTGCCCCCCCCCCCCCACACACACACTCCCCTGTACTTAACTCCACTTCCATACATGGGCTGGGTGTGTCTACACAGCCAAGTTATTATAAGAGCATCTACACAGAACTAGCGCTATTTCAAAATAACGGGAGGCTTATTCCAACTTCTGTAAATCTCATTCTACAAAGAACAACATGTATTTTGAAATAGGGACTGTGTAGATGCCCCACTGTTGCTATTTCGAAATAGCCCCTTACCAGGGCTATTCTAAGTTATTCTTCCCCAGTGCCTCCTGGGGCTCTAAATCGAGATAGCACATCTACATTAGGGAGGCCTGCCTCTCACTAATTCTGGGGCTTCCCTGCAGCATAGAAGTGCTATTTTGAAATAAGCTATTTCTGAGTAACTATTCTGAAATAGCGTATTCCAAAATAAATGTGCAGTGTAGACATAGCCTCTGTGGCTTTCTCATCTTCCCCCTGGAGGATTACTTGGTTTTTATTAAACTCATTAGGACTGTGATGATGATTCTCCCTTGCCTTCTCCTCAGAGTCCTACCTGATCAGGCTATTTCACCATGTTAGGAGTCTTATCCTAGCCCGAGGATGCGCCTGCATTGTCGTTTGTATTATGCCACTCAATTGCTCAGGGAGGGAGTTTCTTCATTTCTCTCTGAGCTGATCTCTCAATTACTGCTTATATCCTCCATGGAATACAGAGTCTCTTAGTATAATATATAGAAAAACCTGTTGGGTTTACCTCGTCCATCTTTGTGCCAATGTGTGATCATTCCTTAGGGTATGTCTACACTATAGAGAAGATCAAAGCTGCAACTGTCAATCTTCCATGGTTCGAATGAGCAGGTCCAGTTAAAACAGCTAATTCAAACTGAGAGGGACACTCCGGTTGACACTGGTAGTCCTGCTCCTACAAGGAGCAAGTTGCTGCCGTGTGGACAACACCAAAAGTCAAGTTACAGTATTTCAACTTCAGCTATGCAATTAATGTAGCTGAAGTTTTCCCGCAGTGTAGATATTCCTTTAGGGAATTGCTAGTAGTTTGACCTATGCATTCTGCCCATACTGCATTCTGGCCATGCTCTTGAGAAATTATTCTAGTAAAAAAAGATCTCATTCTTAACTTCATCCCCTAAGTCTTTTCTTTTTCTGTCACAGTCCATTTATCACTTCTGTACTGTACATCAACATGAACTTTATGAAATGATCAAGTAGCCTTTGTTCCTTTAACACCACTTAGTCTATCCCTAAATCCCTTTAAGTATTCCATTGTCATAATTTTTCATTGGATGTGATAAGAGAATCATTTGGGAGTCTCTAGTAAATCATCTTGCCCCCGTCTTACATAGTGATAAAGTTGTTTCTAAACCTTCTGCTATGATACAAGATAGGGATGTAGGAGTGTTGATTGCAGCATGATGACATAAGGGACATAAAGGATTAGGGTCACAGCTACAGAATTCTTAACTACAAAAAATGTACAGAGGAAGCCAGATAGGGTGGCTCGAATATCCCAAAGACATAAGCTCAGATTCTTTGGTGGTGTAAATTAATACTGATCCATTGAAGTCAAAAGAGATACACCTGTTTATTCCAACAGATGATCTAGCTTTTAAGCACAATCTACTACTTCTAGGAATTATTTCTAAGTCTTGCCTCGCCACTTGAAAGTGATAGCCCCTAGGTTAAAATTAAGATTGTCCACAAGGAAAACAACTTCCTTAGAGCAGTTAAGAGTGGGGGCTGCAGGAGATGGTGAGATAAAGGGTTTTGGACAGTATTGGACCCACTGTGTGCTGTTTGCAATGGCAAGGTCCCCCTGTTATCGGATATTACCAAGTAACCCATCAATGCTATGGCTACAGGCAAAGAAGAGCCTTCCTAATGGATAAAGGATAAGAGAATACTTTATATTTGAAAAGTAGTTTTTCCATAGTTTGAAAATAAACTTACTTTAATTTGTCTAAAACCAGCAGAAATGGACAGCACTTGAAACCACACAACTGATGTTGCACAAGTCCTGAATATCACACTGATAGCAGCTGTCCATTTAAACATCTTTAAATTCCTACAAAGAGCCGAGTGAAAGTTTCTCTGTCACATCACCATATTTTTATTGTTTTCTATGCCACTTATTCTTATTGACCTGGCAGGTACAGTTAAAGTGACAATGATTTGAGAAAGAATATAGTTTCCAGGATCAGGGGATATGAACTTGAACTAGTAGAGTCATTCGATTTTATTCCTATAAGATTCCTGTTTAAAAACAAAATGCTATTTCCTCTGTTACTATAAATTGATATTGACTTAACTGACCAGCTAGAGATCTGGCCCTGCTACCCAATGTTTCTCACATGTGAATGTTTCTGAACATGGTTCTCAGATGTGAATGTTTCTGAACATGGGCTAATGAAATTAATGTATTTCCTCCAAAAACGAATAGCTAATAGAAACTCTTCAGTAGCTATCAGCAATGATAATCGACCTGGGGAGAGAAAGATAATTCTCTTTCAGGTTTTTGATATTTTGAAACTCAGTTTTGTTGCAGTTAGGAATGAAAACCAAAAATTTCAAACTTCTCTGTGAAAGGGAATGGAGTCCACCTGGTGGGCAGCTCTGGAGCCGCGGACCCTGGCATCCTTAAGGTCTCTGAGGTAATCTGTCTGGGGGGGTTCTCTAGAGCTGTAGACCCTCTGTGGAGAGCTAGAGAGTGAGGCAATTGAGCGGGCAGGTTTCAAAGTCTGGCTGCTTTTCAGCAAAATGTCAATAAAATCGAATGGTCTCCAAGAAATGTTGTGATTTCAAAATTGGCAAATTCCAAAAGAAGATGGTGTCAGAACTTTTCCAACCAGCTCTTGCTATAAGTATTATAACTGATAACAGAGCAGTTCTTATGCTGCCCAGCAGAGAGCCATGCAATGGTACACATGTACACTACCAGGTCATTACGCACTTTCTTACTCTGGCAAATCCCATTTCAATTTGACATCAGTAATGAATCTGTTGCTATCTATGGCTTCGTGGTATCACTATGGCACAAATTATTGTTCTTCAGAAACTTTCAAGGGCAGCAGGCATAGAAGGTAGATTCCTATTTCAAACCACAGACCCTTCCCACTTGAGCTAAGCCCCTACTACCGGTAACATAGGGCCTGAAACATCCAGGTCAGACATTTTGTTTCTTCCTAGTAGACGATAATGGCACATCCTAGCCAGTTTATTACACTATATAGCAAATCACACAAGAACTAGATTTCCACTTTTAAAGTATAGAATTCTCCCTCTTGTGACACATTGAGCCTATTTTCTATGTGCACCCAAAACTCTGCTCCCACATGTATCTTGTGGATATGCAAGCAATTGCACATTTGGACCCCAAAGAAATTATGGCTTAATCTCTGTTTATCACATGAGCAATTGCATTAAGACAATCAAGATTTGGCCCCATTAACATTTGCCATTTTATGTGCATGGTCCAATGTTATTCTGCTGGAGGAAGTGCCATAAACTAAATATACTTTCAGAATTCAATGACACATGCCTTTCATAGAATCATAGAACACTAGAACTGGAAGGGACCTCAAGAGGTCATCAAGTCCAGTCCCCTGCCCTCATAGCACGACCCAGTAACA